TTACCACAGAAAAATCTTTGCATTTCATCTGCAGAGCAGGACCAGGGCAATCCCTGCACTTTAATGACATAATTCTCAACATAATCCTCAACGACTTCAGTATTTGAGATCTTTCTAGAAATGAGCGTGGCTTCAGTTTCGCTTTCTGTTGCTAGGGGTAACAGAAACATGGCCACATTGAATGGAGCAGAAATTTCAGAACTCCCCCCTCCTCCTGTCTTCCTGTTTGCCCTTGCTTTTCCAACGTCTATCCCAAATACATATGGCGACCCAAATCCTAGTCCAGGACATCGGAAATGGTTTGAAGTGTCACTTCACCTCTCCAAACACAGAAAGCCAGGCAGCTGTAGAAGTACGTGCTGCGTTCTTAGGAAATGGCAGCGAACTCAGCCGGACCTTATTTCTGCTTTCACCTCACATATACAATTGAGGTGAAAAACAGATTTGAACTATTGGACACTGCTGAGAGGACACCTGATGAACAGTGGCAGGAAATTCAATCGACCATTATTGGAATTGCAGGAGAACACGTACCATACAAGAAGCCAGAGAAAAAGTGCAAGTGGCTCCCAGATGAGACCTGCAAAATAGCTGAGCAAAGAAAAACAGCCAAGGCAGCTTGGCAAACGGAAAGAAGCAAGACTGAATGCAGCTTTCCAGAGGGCAGCAAGGAAGGACAATGAAGTTTCTTGGGATGAGCAATGTAAACAGCTTGAAGTGGACTATAGGTAGTCCTCGACTTACAACAGTTCATTAAGTGATCATTCAAAGTTACAACAGTACTGAAAAAAGTGACTCATGAGCATTTTTCACACTTATGATCACCCACTGCAGCATCCCCATGTTCACATGATTTACATTTGGATGCTTGACAACTGACTCACATTTATGACGGTTTTGCAGTGTTCCAGAATTATGTGATCCCCTTTTGTGACCTTCTGACAAGCAAAATCAATGAGAAAACCAGATTCACTTAACAACTGTGTTACGAATTTAAGAACTGTAGTAATTCACTTAAAAATGTGGTGAGAAAAGTTGTAAAATGGGGCAAAAGTCACTTAACACATTTCTCACTACGCAACACAAATTGTGGGTTCAATTGTGATCATAAGTTGAGGACTACCTGTAGATGAAGGATCAATCTCAGGAATGCATTTATGCAAGTCAAAAAGATCCAAACACCATTTACTGCTTTTATAGGCATCCATTTATTGCTTTTATAGGCATCATTAAAAACAAGCAAGGGAACTGTTCAACCAACAAGGCATCAAGAGCAAATGGCAAGAATATACAAAAGAGATGTACGCAGGTAGCAAAGGGGCCCAGCCTCAAGATGATGAGGAAATAGAAGTAGAAATAGAATCAACCATCATTGAGGAAGAGTTCATACGAGCAAGTTTCTACTTAAAATTATACAACAAAAAGTCTACCGCTAACTATCAAGATAATTACCAGATGTCCAAGCCAGCTTCCGAAGGGATCATGGCAAATCTGTGCTGGATTATGGGAAAATCTTGTAAATATCACAGGATCATTTACATGTGCTTCATCGACTAAACAAAAACCTTCAATTGTGTTGATCATGAGAAGCCATGGATAGTCCTACAAGATCTGGGGTGGGGGGGGAACCAGCATATCTGGTCATGTTGGTACAATCACTGTATACAAATCAGGAAGCCACTGTGCGAACACCATATGGAGACACCAATTGGTTTAAGGTAGAGAAAAGAGTGTGACAAGGTTTCATTCTCTCTCCTTTCTTGTTCAACCTTTATGCCAAAATGATCATGAGGAAATTAGATCTTGAAGAATCAAACGTTGGGGTTAAGATTGGAGGAAGAAATAGCAACAATAGAAGAAGAAGGCCTAGAACATCTGATCAAGAAAATCAAAGAAGCAAATGAGAATTTTGGTCTTTTTCTGAACATCAAAAAGACCAAGCTCATCACCACTACAACCAATAGAAACATCAAAATAGATATTGATGGTGAAGTTACAGAATGCGTGGGCATATTCACTTTCTTCCTAGCATTGTAGGCGGTGAATGCAGCAGAAATAAAGCATTAGATTGCACTGGGTCACACAGCAATGATGAACATGAGCCAAATATTGAAAAGCAAGGACATCAGCCTTGGAACAAAACATAGATTAATCCGCTGTATTATATTCCCCGTAGTTACCTATGGTTGTGAAAGTTCGACCTTAAAAAGGCTGTGGTTCTGGAAAAGGCTCCTATGTATTTCTCGGAAAGCAAAGGTGACTAACAAGCAAGTACTGGAGTGCATAACATCACTCCAGTATAACTGGAAGGCAAAAACCACAAAACTGCATCTCACCTATTTTGGCCATGTCGTGGAGGAATTCTCTGGAGAAATCAGTTATGTTTGGAAAAGTTAGCAGTAAAAGGAAACCAGGCCACCAAAGAACACAGTGGCTGGACACTATCAAAGCTGACACCGACCACAACTCAAAGAAGTACTTGCAACCCTGAAAGATGTGGGGAGATCTAGCTCATAGAATCACAGAGTTTGAATGGATAATCAATCAGACAGAATAGACCTGGAAGGAACTGTAGGAAGTTAGCACCCACCCCTTTCCTAGAAGAATGAAATATTTTAGGGAATATTAAAAAGGCAGAATATATTTCCCTGGATGAGAAATGGAGAAACATGTTTTAAAGACAAAGCAGCTCCCTATCATTTCAGACAAGTGACTGACCAGTCTCTTAATTATGTGATTATGAAAAATGTGATTATGATATCATAATCATCTCAAAAAACATGTTTCTACTGTTCCTAGTAACCTGAAGAGATAGAAAATTCAGAAGTCCTTCCTAGGACCAACAAATACAAAACTGCATCGTGGCTGAAAATGGAACAGAAAACAGACACAGGTAAACTTCCATAGTGCACCTGTGTTCTGAAGATTGTTTCTTCTCTTCCCCACCCCCCTCCATCTTTAAGTGCCACCCCACCTTACAGCATAAATCTTAAGTGGATTTTACTTCTGAAAGAAGGCCCTACTGAATGTAATTCGAAATAAAGCTTCCCAGAATTAAACTAGAGTCGCCTCCACCTTATTGTAGCATATACCCATTCCTGCAATCACCATCGTTCCCACTGCATGCAATCTCCCCGTCCAGGAAAAACCATTCCCACAGCTCTTGAGGACAAAGCCCGCCAAGTTTTTATCCTGCTCCCGAAACTCAGATTTTGTCCTCTCTGTGTGTCAAAAAAGACACACATACATGATGATCTTTCATCAAAGCTGCATTTAGGCTTTTTTTTCTTTTTAGCCCATTTAGTCCAACTACAATCGTAAAAATAAGCAACTAGGTTCACATACAACTGAAGACACGAACGGATCCACGAAATCATACACAAACGTTTTAGACTTTCAGGTACCGTCCACACTGCGCTCAAAAGGCAGAAGAGCACTTTTATCCCGTATGTAGAAAACTAATTTAAGTAGACCTTTTATCCTCTGGATAAAATGTACTCAGAAATTACACAGGACAAGGAAAAAATAGCGGCTCTACAAAGCTACACTTCGAGAAATAGGCAGCGACTTGAAGCTTACTCAAATCTGAACCCAAGATCCGATTACCGGTAGACGTCATAAAGCGGGAACAGAAAGCAAAATGTTATCAGTAGCCAAAACAAAAGAGGAGGGTTTGGCAGCGCTGTCTTGGATTGGCCGAGTAGAAGCGGGATTTTTGAACGGAGAATCATTGCGGTTCTGCTGAGTCAAGTGGGATGCTAAAACAATACCCGGAAGCTATGAAGCTGTTAAATCAAGGGGCCGCTACCGGGAAAGGCTCGGTTTTGACTGCCGGAGTTACCCACTCCAACCTCCGAAACCTGCCCCCGCGCTCACCGAGCGTCCGCGCAGCTGCTCTCCGCCTCTACAAGTAACTTGTTTCCCCTTGTAGGCTTGTGACATCAGATTAAATAACCCCTCCCCAGGCCCGTCCTCTGCAGCTAACCAATCGCCTGGTTACGAAGGCACCGTTTCCACCCACTTTCCTTTTAAATCCCAGAGTCTTTGTATTTGGGCGCTGGAATACAAGAGGAGGAGAATGAATAGTTATGTAGTTACCATTTCCCCCCACCCCCAAAAAAGGAAATATATCAGATCTAGGAAACTACAGACCAATCAGCTTGATATCAATACTTGGGAAGATCCTGGAAAAGATGATCAACAGATCTGTGAACACCTAAAAGTAAGCAAAGTTATAACCAGCTTGCCACCTGGGAAATTTGCAGATGAAGCATTGTTGTCTGTTTCTTCTTGCTTAGAAAAGTAGAAGTTAGGAAACCCAAATTTTTCAGAGAAAGCTGCTCTCTTACAGTCAACTCCAATTTATGATACCACTCAACCCAAAGGCGGATGGAGGCCAGAGTGAATTTGCTTTTTTATTTTATTCTGAATTTTTTAATTTTCATTTGGATTTAGCTTCTGTAATTTAAGATAAGGGGGGAAAGGAAGAACTGAAAATATGATCACCTTAACTGCAGCTAAATGGAGATTGGCTAAATTCATGGGTTAAGCTATTAATGACAATTTTGAATGTGTTTGTTGTTTGAAATCACAGGCAGCAGAGAGCTGTTATCCTCTTGTTCATATTTGCGAACCTTCCTACATGTGCCTTACTTTGCCTTTGTATAAACAAAATGCTGAGCTGAATAAATTGTTCACTTGATCTGCAGGTTTCTTGAAGTGTGTGTTTCTCATCCCCTCCAACCCCCGTTACCTATGCTAATGATACTTGGGTACTTCTAGCCTTGGATCAGAAGCACAGTATCATGCTCTAGACTAGAGCCGAACTTGAGATTAGTTCAGGTATCTACATTTGCAGGATACAAATGTAATCAAGAGTGTCAGGTTTTTCCATTTTGCCAACCATTCATCTACAACCCCAAAAAAGAAGAGTTCAAGAGAAGTCTCTGGAGTTAGATGCGTGTGATTTGTTTATCCAAAATTAATTTAAATATGATGTACTCAATTAGCCAAATTTAATGGTTCACAAAATCAGCAGAATCATAAACAGGCTGAATATTTACAAAGTGCTCATCTTAAATGCATTTCTTGACATAACAATATAAATTACTCTGTCAGAGACAGCTTTTTTCAATTAAACATGTAATGATCAACAAAATATTGGAAATTTTAAAAACTGCACAAGAGCACAAATTGAAAACACAAATATTACAGAACAGAAAACAGGAGACACACACATATACATACAGTACATATAAACAATGGGAGTCCAGCTGAAGAGACATCTGCATTTGCATATAGTATGTTACTATACTTGATTACAGTACACTAAAATACACATCTACAGTACATGATGATGATGAACCTCAGATTTAATCTCCAGCACCTTGATTTAAAAGAATCAGGTCACAAGTAATAAGATTGCCTTTTCTGCCAAAGAACCTGGGAAGCCATTGGCCATAAGGGTGGACAATGCCAGTTTCCATGGACAAATGGAGACTCTAATTTGGTCAAGTTATCTATGCACAAGCAGGTAACTAGCAAGCCACAGTGCAGAAGGGAATAAGTGGGACATTGTTGCATTTTCTTCAAGTCTGCTGCTCTAATTGCATTGCTGTCTGATAGCAGATACTGGATTCTTAGGAAGAGAAAGGTGACAGTCACACAACGGAACAGATGACTTCTAGCAGTGGCCCATGAAGCAGTGTGCTAGGTGGCACTGCCAGCCTCTGCTGTTAGCCTATTGTAGACCCTGGAAAATTCCCATTTATATATATCTGCTAGGAAATAAGAGTAGAAACAGTGGATTCGGTATCCTGAAAGTCATGCTGGAGAGTTGCTTCTGGGACAGGTGGTCACATCAGAAGCAAAGACTATTCAAGAAGCAATTGCTGCTGATTGTGAGTCCAGCCATCATCAGAAGTGAATATATAAAGGCAGGATTTCCTTGCTCCCCAACACCTCAATGAGTCAAAACAAAAACACACTAAACACAATCAAAGCCATTACAAAATTATTTTTTGCAAGATTGTATTAAGGGTCTGGACGCCAATACTTCAGAAATACAATTGTTTTAGGTCTTATATCTAAGCTGTTTATTAAGCTCGAAGCATAAGCACCTTGTTATTTGACTTTTTCGTATTTGAATGCCAAGTAGTAGTGTCCAGCTTTTTTTCCACTAAATGTAGTCGTGCTGTGGTCTCCGTCAGCATGTCCATAAGCAGCTCAAGCTGCAGCTTCAAGTAATTGTTCTCTTCCAGTAAGGATTTGTTTGCTTTCTTCAGGGCCTTGTTGGGTGATTCCTTATCTGGAGAGGGGAATAACTGTAATAAGGGCATCTGTTGGGGGATATTCTCATTTTTCCACTCACCATTGTGGAAGACAAATTTTGATTTGTTCAGCTGAGCACATGGATAGTCATAGTCCATTCCAAGTTCAGCTTGTCGAGTTTTGTAGTCCAATAAATAAAAGGTGGATAATGAAGTTGCTTGGCGAAGTGTTGGCCTTCTTGGATAGAATTTACGAGAAAAATGATCAGCCCAGTAATCACGCACATCCTGTAGAATGTTAGAAATGGTTTCCATGACAAGGAGAATTAGAGATGGAGGATACCAGTAAGAAACCTAGAGAAGAAAGTTCTGGAATAGAAAACCAACATGTCCAATGTTAAAGAGAAGACTGGGATATTATATAGCTTTATTAGATCAGAAATGAAGTTGGCTAGATGTATAATTTCATAATTTCTTTATTTAAAATGCTGCTTAGCTTTTCCCATAGTGGTTTATTAATTTGGAAGCATGCAATATATAACACGGTATTATATTTTTAAAAATCAGTCAAATTCATCCAAGCCATCTATCTTTAAAAGCCCAGGTAAAAAGAAAAATGCATGCTGAAACCAGGATATAAAAAGGAAATATATCATCTAAAAAGAAGTCAAGAAGGAATATATGTCTTTTTAAAGCTATACTGTAGATGCTAAGCAAGAATTCCTAAATGTGACCTTCCCAATGATATTAAATTGCATCTCCCAACACTCCTCAATATTGGCCAAATCTGCTAGAAGATGTGGTTTAACCATGCATTCATTTGCTATTGGTGGAGAAGATTCTGATTAGATAACCAGTTATGTATTTTCAGTTTGCTGCCAGATGATATGAACAGCCAATTTCAAAGCCGCCTTGTTGCTGTCCTTGTTGGGTTGGAAAGCCTCTAAATAGTCAATAAAATGAAAGCTGTCTTCTGACAGCCTTTCAATCAAAGAACTAGTTTCTGTTCTTAGTAAACATTCTGTTTAAAAGAATGGTGGAAATAATTTCTGCAAGCTTCTCTGGGAACAATTTCATAGTGGGGATGCCAAACCAAGGAGAACTGTACCCCAGGTAAAATGTCACCTTATCTCACACTGTACAGAAACCGTCAAAAAGGCCACTCATGATCTGACAGGATTGTGTAGAAAAAACAAGTCTTCAGATTACTGAAATAACAAAAAGATCCCTTATAGTAATATATATATAGGGTAATGTTTTCATTGTGATCATCCTCATTTAATGTTGGATGAAGTGACAACATGATGGGATTTGAGGCAAGAGCCTTTTCTATCATCATACCCACCCTTTAGAACATCATTCCCCCAATTTAATACCATTTGCTTAACTTATATTCTCCCAGAAGTACTCTATTAAAAATAAGAATTTTCTATATTTATTTGTTTGTTTATGAAGTTTATTGGCCCTGCCTATCTCTATCTTTTTTTTTTATTAAAAGCATAAACAACTATCTAAAGACTCTAAATAGAATACAAAACTTAGTCTCAGGTCAATGGTTCCCAGAACGAGAATGACTATTAAAACCTTATGGACCATACCTTCTTCTGTATCTGTTATTTCGTCTATCAGTGTTATTGTGTTTGCTCATACTAAAAACTGTTTTTCTGTTTTCAGTAACTGAAAACTGTTTCAGTAACTGAAAATTTCCTTGTCATACTATTAATATCCTATTCTTTTCCTTGTCCCAAGCTCTATTTGAGTATAATAGCAGCATGACAATAATCTAATTATACCATAATTGTTTCAGCAAATCATAGGATATTGAAACATGAATAAGAGGTGTACCTTTGGTGTCCTTCAGATCTGTTGAACTATAGTTTAAGAAGGGTCATGATGATGGAAATTCTAGGAGTTATAGTCCACATCTGCATCAGGTAGAGAAAATTGTCCTGGTCAATAGCTTCTAAATGAGAGAAAGAAAAATGAGTTTGACCTGGATGTGTAGCCATTAGTCTCAATATTCCAGAAACCTGATTGCTTGCTTGATTCTTCTCTTCTTTCCCTTTTTCCAGTATTTTAAAGTTTAAATCATAACATTAATTCTTGGTCTTGGTGATCCTTGGCACAAGTAGAAGAATAGATCATCTTTCTCAAAGAGTTGCCTCACAAGGAACTTTGAAATGATCTATCACAATGCTATCACAATGAATAGTTAGATGGGCCCTCCCTTCCCCCTGTATGGTCTTCTGGAAAGAAGAGGACTGCACTTTTCTGGATATAAGCAGTTACCCTGGTTATTAATACTGAAGTATTAATAACTGTAGTAGTCTAATATGTAGTCCCAGGCTGTTGTTGAGGGCTTTGGAAGAAAGCATATGGAGACAGATTGTAGACAGTACTAGCCATTAAAATAGGCAAAATGTTCTTCCTGTTCTCAGAAAGCTATGCTCACCAAATAGTATTTTGTTGTAGCTGTTCAAGTTCTTGTTTCAGCTAAAACCTCAGACATAAACAGGTTTGGCAAGAGAGATAAACTATTCCTTTTGAGTGTATTCACATACGTATATACACTCTCACTGAAATTATGCCTCACATCATATTGTTAACTTACCTAATGTCACTATGTGACTTGCAATGTCTCACAATTGCTGTTCCTGTTTTATCCAATCATGTTTTTGCATGCAATAAATACTTAAATGAAGATGGTTTTGTTTTATGACTGTCAAATGACACTTCAGTGTTTAGCTGGTTACATTAATTGGTATTAATTAACCCACTGCATACAATTAGTATTGTGCAAGTTGATACAAGTTTCATGTGTCAAGTGCACATACCAAATGGCCTATTAACAAAGAACATGTTTATAAGTTAAACAATTTTACCTCCTATTTCAGCTTCTTCCCAAAATACTTACTTTTATTGAGACTTTTGAAGTCATTAATATAAACTGTACTCATGTATGCTTTACTGAACCTCAATGTACTACATTAATACAATTTCCTGGTTTCACACAGCACACTGTGCAAAATTAAACAATACATTTTAGCCAAGTATATTGGATGAACCGAGTCTTACAGTACAGTAGTAACTTTCATACAGGTACCACTGTTCAAAATATGTTGAGAATTCACTGTTCAGAACTGCAATACAGGAATGACAATTATATTGAAACTTAAATATGTATAAAATAAGCACAGTGACTATTTACAAATTCTGCTGATGATTGCACAATCCGGAGTAGTTTATCTAGGGTTTCAAATAGAGAAGGGACTTAATTCAATTGCCATTTGTAAACTGCTAATTCTGAAATATATAACTAGGAATGTACTTGTGAAATACACATTTTGCCTGTTAATGCTATTAAAATTGTTTTTGGCAGTAAGACAAGTCTAGTAAGTTGAAAAATAATCAAATATCACTTTGCAGTACATAATAAGAGATAAATTTGTTTTGAAGTCCAGTGACATATCCAGACTTATCTACGGTATGTAGCAGATCCACTGCTAGACCCCTTGAAATTTGCCTACTGTGCAAATAGATCAGCAGATGATGCTGTTAACATGGCACTGTACTACATCTTACAATATTTTGAATCCCAAAGGACCTATGCAAAGGTTCTTTTTGTAGATTTCAACTTGGCATTCAATATCATCATTCCAGAAATTCTTCTCTCCAAACTGACTCACTTACCTGTGCCTGAAAACACTTGTAGGTGAATTATAAGCTTTCTATCTATTAGAAACTTGAGCCTGTCTAAGTAAGACACATACAGGGTCCATAAAATTATGAAAATTTCGAAAATATTAAAACAGGAAGCATATATAAAAGTCTAAGAATCTAAAAGAAAGGTAGGAACATTAGTTAGGCAGGCATAAAGGTAAAGATAAAGGTTTCCCTCGCACATATGTGCTAGTTGTTCCCAACTCTAGGGGGCGGTGCTCATCTCCGTTACAAAGCTGAAGAACCAGCGCTGTCCAAAGACGTCTCCGTGGCCATGTGGCCGGCATGACTAAACGGCAAAGGCGCACGGAACGCTGTTACCTTCCCACCAAAGGTAGTCCCTATTTTTCTACTTGCATTTTTTACGTGCTTTCGAACTACTAGGTTGGCAGAAGCTGCGACAAGTAACGGAAGCTCACCCTGTTATGCAGCACTAGGGATTCGAACTGCTGAACTGCTGACCTTTCAATCGACAAGCTCAGTGTTTTAGCCACTGAGCCCCTGTGTTGGCATAGGGGAGCATAAAGGGAAAGACTATATATAATTAAATACAGTTTAATAATATGTGAACTAGGTGCTTAAGTCTTGTTTATGTACAGGTCATCATTCAATAAATTTTGAATACTGCAGCATAGAATCTGACATTATATGTTGTAGCAGTGTTGGTATCTGAAACGAGTAGGGAGATGTAGGATTATCCTATATGCCATGACTATATATGAAATAATTATACTGCAAAACCATTTCTGAAAGGTTGAGAATTATCTTTAAAGATATAGGCAGCTTTTTCAGTCTATATCAAAAAGCAACTTTCCTCATAAGGAATTGCAACATACTGCATTAGACTGAAATAATGGAAAACACCATCAGTCTAGAGATATAAATCAAATTATCTCAGGAAAGCCTCTAAGGAGCTCACAGTTGTGGACTGTGCTACAATTTATGAGTCTGCTAATTCCTTATTACCCATGAGAATTGGAACACCTCTCATATAGCTATGTCATACTGAAAGATCATGACTAAAACCAAATTCATCTAAGGTACTATTTGTATTCATATCTAGACCAGGAGACTCTTAATAAAGTCACCTATGCTTTGGTCACCTTCTAATTGAACAATTGCAATATATTCTATGTGGGATTGCCTTTGAAAACCACTCAAAAGCTGCACCAGGACCAATTATGGCCCAGCCACAGCATCCAGATGCAATTGAAGCTGCTGATTATTACATATGAAGTTCTTTGTGGCATAAATCCTGATTATCTAAGGGACTACCTATCACCCATTGTTTCTACTCAACCAATATGAATTGAGAGAGTTGGGCATACTCCAGGTCTCCTTATCCCCAGGCCCTGGGTTAGAGTGGGAGAAGGGTTCCTTGCCAATTTTCTTTTCTTTTTTAAAAAAAGTGATTATTATTTTTTTCCAGACTTCTTGATAATATAGCAATATTTTTGTTTTTACTGTATTTTTCTTTTTGTTGCATGTAAGCATCCAGTCACAGGCTCTGGGCTTACATCTCATAAATAAATAAAATGTAAAACTACATAACAAGACTATTCTGCCCTCTTCTGTGAAGAGTTCCATGTTTTCTAAAAGAACATTGAAAGCTGTTCATTTTAAAATCGTTTTCTAAGTATATGTCTAACTGTGATGGTGATGATTTTGGTACTCTTATTGGAGTGACCACACATTTTCTCCAGGATGATGTTCTCAATCTGTTCCTTCAGATTTTCCAACAAGGTACCCCTTCATCGCTGTAACTGAGTCCATCCATTTGGCTGCTAATCATTTCCTTCTTTTTTTTCCCCGTCACACTGTGTCAAAAATATTCAATGCGAGCCTGTCTAAGTAATGTCTAACTGCAGGAGGTAAAGTTATACAGTAGATGAAATAATAAAGAAGGACTCCGCTTGCGGGTTGAAACTAAAAGTAACCGTCTAAGGAGTTTCATGTCACTTTAATAATGAATCGGAACTCTTCATTCAAACATCCCCTTATCTAACCGACTGCCAATCCGGCGCCACTTCCTCTCTCATAACCCTCCAATGGAAGCGCTCCACGAAGGTAGCGTCGTGGGGACGTCGCTTCAGGATAGACCGAAGTTAAGTGACAGCGCGGGCTGACCAATGGAGTCCAAGAGCGATCCTATGGGCGGAGCTTCCGTGCCCCTCTGAATCAATGGGGTAAGGAGTCTCTCAGCGTTAGAGGCGGGGTTTGTGTTAGGGACAGAAGAGGCGAGCGGGTAGCGGCGGCAGCGCTCTGGAAGCGACCACGTGATAAAAGGCACTCGGGCCGCCTGGAGTTCTTTGCCCGGTGGGAGCGCGAGTAAGGTGAGTTGGGGCTCGCCCGTCTCTGTCAGGAGCCGGAGGGGAGTCCTCCCCACAGAGCCTTGGGCTCCTGCTGCTTCTTTGTCGTGTGCGGGGGGAGAGGGGGGGGTATTGGGGGGGGGGGGCGGGGACTTGCAGCGGCCAAGGCGGGCGTCTTGGCTGAGGGAGGGCGACGGGTGGAAAAAGAGCCCGAAGGCGGCGAATCGAGAACTCCTGGAGGGATTCCGAGACTTAGAGGGTCTGAGAACGGTGGCGAGGGCCTAAAGGCGGCAGACAATTGCCGCCTTTGCCCCCGTGAGGCCTAAGCGGAGGAATTGAATGAGGAGAGTCATCCCCGTCGCTTCTCTTTTTTTTTCTTTTTCTTTTTTTCTTCCTTTTTTTCGCTCGACCCCAGAAGGAGCTGGAGGGTTTGTGGGTGCGGCGCTCAGGAGGAGTTGGGTGGAAGGTGCCCGAGGCTGGCTCTTTAGCCCTGGGGCCTGTGGGGCCGGTGTGACTGCTGGTGGAGAGGACCACATGCGTGTAAATGACTTAGCATTTGCAGTCGCGGGTGTGTTACGAATAGCCGCCGTTAAGGGCGAGAAGGTGTCGCTGCAGGGCGAAGGACCCCGTGAAGCGGGTTGGGCAGAGAAGGGAACCCTAAAGTAGGGAGAAGATCCGGACACGCATAGCCGTGAAGTGTAGGTAACATTCCCTCGTGTGAAGAAAAAAAAAAAATTAAAAAAGCCCTCCGGAGCCGTTGGGAGTCTGAAAATACGCGTGACTTTATACGGAAGAAGTTTGCTCTGTCATGAGGTGAAAAGGAGAATGAGCGAATTTGGCCCAGGGCCCCTTCAGTAAGGGGTGCGCAGTGGACGGGAGCATTTGAGTGAATGAAGCGGAAAACGGATGTTGTATTTTCGTGGGATCTTTTATTGTGGGTATTGTGAAAATCGTATAATGTGGCATTAGTACTGATACCAGTAGCTGCATCAAAAGTGGGTTCTCTGCCTGTGCAGCCCTGAGAAAAGTGGAAAGAAATACGTATTTTATTCCTATTTGAGATGAATTGGCCTTTTGCCACTTAGGACTTAATGACAAATACATAATTTTCATACAATATGGGTAAATTAAATTTTGGATCTGTGTTCCACGGAATCTAGATGGCACTAGGGAGAGAAAAATTGATCAAGTCTATCCTACTATGAATTGAAAAACCAATATGATAAGATAGAAGGATAAGGGCATCTGCTCAATTTGAATTGATTTTACAATTTTGAAAAGCTAAACGGAGTTGGACTAATTAAAAAATGGTCTAATTAAAAAATGAGCTAATGTAATCACAGTTTGAGCATGAAGAAATCTAATTTTTGTGTGTGAGTAGAATGATTCTGCAGGTCGAAGGTTAACATGTGAGTGCAGGATATAGGTGGTGTAATGAGCTAACAAACCTTGAACTTCAAAAGGATAATGGTCACAAGAATGAGGAAATACCTCTTTGTATTTGAAAGTAGCAG